AGAATTAAATTTATTAAGAGAAGAGCATATCAATTTTATAAATCCCACTGGATGCTCATAGCATACTGTCATAAAGACTCGAATCTGCTCTGGATGGTGATAATAATAAGATCTGCTCATCAATTGAGAGTGCTTATGCCAAAATGATGCCCTTTTTAGTGACTTGCTCTGCTGCTGCTTTGTATTTTTACTGCTTGGCCCTCTGACTGCCAGCTCTCCTCTCCGTCGATAGCTACTGGGCAAACAAAACTCAAAGTGATCAAAGAGGGAGAGACTTTATTGCAAACAAGCAGAGGCACAAACTCTAATGACAAGCTGTTTGAACTGGTGCCATAGTGCATGCTTAGTAATCTTTATAGAAGGAACACAAGACAACCAGACATGGTGACAAGGAAGCTTCCTTTTAGAAGGAATTCCTTTAGAATGGGATCATTAGTAACCCTGCTCTTAAAAAAAAAAAAAAAAAAAGAGAGAGAGGGAGTTTTTAAATAACATTTTCACGTATGTTGGCAAAAATGTCCCAAAAGAAGGAATAAACTATGAATAAGGTATGGAAACATTGTTAGAGGAAAGAATAATTCAATATCCTTTTGTCTGTGCTTCACAAGCTGAGCACTGATAGTGTGAGTTTTGCCTCAGCCCTGAAGTGGCAACTCAGCTGACCCCAGACGCAAATGTTAGGACACCAACATGAAACCATGACCATGAGTGCCCAGCCAGCTTTTACAGAGCATTCATATCACAGCGAGCATAAAAGAAGATTCCTCCCTTCTTTGGAGAGTCCATGATTAAGGAGAGGCTAAATGCTGGAAGACTAATGCCCAAATTGCTGGTGAGAGTAAGTGCATAGGGACTTCTAAGTGACAATAGCAGGGAGAGGTGAACTTCACTTCCATTCTGTGATGCTTTCAGTGAGAGCGCTCAAATCCTTAGGCACTTTGCTGGACCAAATCATCAGGAATTAATTCAATATCCTTTTATTGCCCTATAAACTCTGACAAAGGAAGCAAAGGAATTGTCCTGTCCCTTTCCTCAAAAAATACCATGCTTCTTTTGTGTCAGCTGAGCCTCTACTGACGGCTGAATTTTTACTACACAGCCTGAGCATAACATGAAGTTGCAATTATCTTGCCATCTGTACTACCTCTTTTCATGGGTGAATGTTGCTTTTTAATCTAAATTAGTATTGTATTATTTATAGACGTGCATTTATGGCAATGAGGCAGGTAGCCCCCATGTGGGCACATGTCATTATTTAATCCAAATACATGGTTTATTGTTTTTCAGTATGTATTTTTGGCTCTGGGGCAGGTAGGCTCATAGAGCAATTAATACGGAAGAATACCCACATTACAGAATTCCTTCTGTGCTTTAAAATTATACCCTCTTCTTCCAAATTTGAGCATTGTGAGACAATTACATCAGCAAAATAATTATTTATCAGTCCTAAAACCTTCCTTTCTATTTTCCATCATTCAAACACTGACTGGGAAAAATGGAAAGTATAGAAAAGCATATCTTATGCTAGATAGTCTAGCTTTTGTGCTGATGAGAACTTAATAAACAACAGTGAAAGCAATAGCAGATATCAGCCCTGATCTACAATGGTGAAGTTTTTACGTCGAACGCATGTCCCTGTGGAACCACAGTCGAGTGCTGGGACGGGCCCGGTCCCTTCTCCCCACGCTCCCAGCCCTTCCCCTCGCTGCAGATGAGCGGCGCAGCCAACGAGCACAGGGGCGCACGCGGGACCCAGCGCCAACATGTTTCCCACAGTGAGCAGAACTGGGACCTCTAACATCACCCCCAAAAAAGGAAAATAAAAAAGACACCGTATTTTGCCTCACGGGATTTTTGGACATACAGCACTCCTCTTTTAAATTGTTTTTGTTGACTAAAAACAAGAAGCAGCAGAACTTCAAGATAAAGCTGGCACAATAAACTAATAAATCTCTCCTTTTTTTAGAGGGCAATCTGCACAGTGACTTCTGCCATCATTTATACCTATTTGCCATCCTTCAGAGAGGCAAGAAAGGTTTGTGCCCACAACGCAACGGGTGTTCCCAGATGCGCCCACTGTTACGGTGGTCTGCCAAGGGACGGACGGGCACGGTCCCAGTCCAGAGCTTTCTACCGCAAAGTATCTTGATTGGGCAGATCTACTTTGCTAAAGAACGATCACACCAGCTTTAAAAGGATATAAGGTAAGAAAATTTAGGCCCAGGTGTAAACATGTTTAAACTGAGGCTTTAATTCCTATCTGTTCACTTGAAACGAACATTGAAAGGTCAAAAATATCCTGATGCTATCACGGCAATATCTTTCTCTATGTCCTAATGCTGAGACTATCACCTCACCAGTTTTTGCCCACTTATTCAACAGAATAATTCCTGTAATATTACTGTATAAGCTCACCTCATGATTTTATTTCTATTGCTATCAGAACAGAAAACATACATAGTTCCTTTTCTTCTCTTTACTTTCTATGTTGCTTATAGACTTGGATGTGGCAAAAAGCAATTGCACAGAAAAAAGCTAAACCTGTGCTTAGAGTAAATTTGAAGGGGCCTACTTGTTAGAAGCTATTCTCAACAGAGGCAGCAAAATTTCCATTTTTAAATCTCCATTCAAATTAAGTCAATGAAGACTGAAGAGCACAAAACTGTTACTATTGCTTTCCAGCACATCAAATTAACAATTTGTGCTGCTGCACGCAACTTTCAGTGAAAGTTTGTCTGATTTATAAGCAAGCAGATGGTTCACAGGACTGTCCACAATAAATTACAACAGTTAGAAAGACAGTTACATTTTGAGAGTGACAGTGCAGCTGAGCTACAGATGGGCTTATGGATGACCCTTCCAATTTTTAATAATCTCCATAATTTATGTGCAAAGTAAAGAAGTGCAAGGATTCCTAATGCACCTTCTTGACTAAGTACAAATCACTTTTATTTACGCAAGCAATACTTCATGGTCCAGTTAACTTCTTAATTAAAGGCAGCAAGATGCTCATGTTCCATGCAAGTGGCATAGAAAATAATGTTTAGTGTGCAATATGTTCAGCTGGAAGTTTAAGATGCTCTCATTGCTTTTGGAGAAGTAGACACAACTATCACATTTGTTTGAAACAAGAGCACAAGCTGCAAACTCTGCTACCACTAGCTAGTATTCATTACTCTCTAGATAACATTTAGGGCTCCTGCACTAACAAGGTCACTTTTATTTGCAAGCTCTGAGGCTTACAAATAGGCTGCTAATCAATAATAAATCAATCAAATCATTTATAATAAATCAATCAAATCTATAATAAATGTAATCAAGTATAGCTTTGATTATTCCATAGTATTTGCCAATATTCCACAGGCATCACCCTTTGACTGACTGCAGCTACTTTGTGCAGAGAAGAAGAAAGTAAAAATTCATCAAAATTGATAGGATTGCACATGTAGCTACCAGTCCCCTAGTCCACTGAGAGGCTGGAGAATCTATATGCAAGGCAAACAGTTCAGCACAGTCTTGAGGCCCATCTACTGAAGTCAACAGAAACTCTGCCTCCTAAGGCTGTAATTTGGTCCTTCTTGCCTGCAACTAGATCCTTTTCTGGGTAACAGTGAAAATAATACTAGCTCCAGAGGAAGGATAAAGCAAGGAGCCTAAAACAGGCCTTACTTTGTGGTTCATGTTAAACTGTCACTTGTGTTGAAACTAGTTTCATAGCTGCAAAAAGGCTTTGTTCACCTCGCCATTTTAAAACATAGATTGAGATGATAATATGTAAGACCATACGTAAGAAGTAAACACCCCAGTAACAAAAGGAGCTCTCTGTTCTCTTAGCAATTAAATATCATTTACAACAATCTAACTGGAGAAAAGAAATGTTAATAGCAATTCTTCAGTCTATTTATCAAACTATGGGTTGCACTTTTTCACACACCTTATGCCACAAAGTATATGCCACACCAGGTTCTACAGTTCGCTTTGAATTCAGGGATAAAAATATTTACAGATAGGAACACTTTCGCATTAACTTTTCCTCCTAAATGATTATGCTTGTTCAAATCAATTCATAGCCATCTTACAGAGGTTACAACCTTCAATAATTAAATCAGATATCATATTGGATATTGTGTTGATTATGCTACAAGTTCCAATTTCTTCAAGACCACTGAAATGCTGAGATAAAGGGATGTTAACTTTATTTAATTAGCTATAAACCATTGTTATCAACATGGAGGGTTGGTATCTGACTCAAATTAACACTTCAGATCAAGAAATAAGATAGATGAAATATTCTGTGAAGGATCCTGGATACTATATGCAATTTCTTCAGCTATTTTAAAGCTGCTCAGGACAAACAGGATTGCATTAGAAAGAACAAAAGGCACTGACAGTCAATTAAGTATTACTATGAATATGCTATTTCAATCACACTTGGGTTCCTTCTCATTTTCAGTTGTTAATGTTCTTGCCAGTCTTGTCAAGCAGTCCCTTCTAGCAGATTTGAATTTTAACTGCACATAATGTTAAAACACAACATGAAGTAAGAGTGAGAACAAAATATGGGTTTACTGTGCGAACAGAGAGATCAGCGCATCGTGGTAAGATATCACCTGTCTGCTCTCTGCAAAACAGAGCACCACTAAAATGCATGCTGGATTTCACAACTCCCATGCCCACAAAAAAGCACTAATTTTGAATGACGATTATTTGTGATTTATCTTGAAAGGATCCAAACACCTTTGAAGTATTTTATCCACGGTTTACAAAGGCGCAACCCACATATATCCACCTCACAGCTGCCCAGAGGACATAGCACCCACATGAAGTACCCAAGGACACCCACTGTCCCCCACGCTACATTTGTACATAGTCAATGACATAATTTATCCAAATCCATATCACCCTGCCACTTAAGCTTAACTTTTCTTTTTTTTTAATTTAAATATTATTAGGACTACAAAAAAAATGTGATTATTCTTTCCCCTTTCCCCGTAACTCACTGGTCTGGACCGGATTTCTTTGGCGTAGAGAGGTTTCAAGAATTCTGAATCTCCTTCCAGCTTTAGACCTTTGTCCGTGATTCTCAGGTTCCCCATTCCATCCTGAAACACAGACAAAAAGAAGTGACCCCCATTAGCCACAATTACTGAACACACCAGGCTTCTCACAACAGAAAGATTCTTCCCTCTGCAAAGAAGAACATGTAAAGCACTGGGAGGCACTAGAGAATGCAATTACTTGTGTTATCCTTTTAGCTCTGTATCCATGAGAAAATTCTTTTGAGAGCAATCTGCAATACCCCCAGTAAACCATTTACATAGATGAAAGATGCTAGTCATCACTGCTGAAAGAGACACAGCGATGTTCTGCGTTAACAGGAAACCATTCACTGTAATACTCACCGTGTGGCTGTATATTAATGCTGTATATTAACAAATCTATATAGAGAATATGTGATTAATTCTACTGAACTGACAAAAAAAAAGAAAAAAAAAAGAAAAAAAGAAAAAGCTGTGGTTAGGAGTATAAGGAATAGGAGTATTGCAATAAAATGTGGCATGGAGTGGACCTCTGCCCTTGGGGAATCTGCCCAGTCGAGGGACAGGGACACTCCGGGGGCGCTTCTTGGGGTTATCAGCCAGCACCAAGAATAGGGCAGGCAAAAAGATACAGACAACTGCTGAGCAGTTGCAGTTCTCAGCACAGCTCTACCAGAAGCCACGTTTAAAGAAATATTTGCTGTAGGGTAAGTACCTAAGTGGTAGGAATATGCTTTCAATTGACTGCTCTCTATCTCGGGCTAAGTCCAGGGATGAGCAGCTCAGGAGCGGGGCCTTGCTCCTCGCCCCACGGCACGTGGCACAGCACGGCTGGCCACGAGGGTGGCACATTCCGCCTGCATTTGGCAGACCCATTCCATGGGCACATGCGCGGTGCCCCTGCTCTCCGCATGGTGCTGTGAAAAATCTTTCTGACAAATAGTGCAAAGTGTTGGCTGCAGGCTGCCAGTAGATGACTGCAAATAGTCCATTTTCTTTAGAAATTGTTTAGCTATGTGTGTCCAAGGTGTAATGAAACATCTGAGAAACTATAATAACAAACCAAATATATGTCAAAATTTTGCACGCATTTTTCTTTTGGTCTTTATGCAACAAGACAGGTATATGGATACATTGGCACAGAGTAGAATAGGACTCAACTAAAATTATTTCACCTTTAGCTTGTGAGAGAAAGTCATAACTTTTACTAAGATGAGGGTTTAGGCTTGTTTAAGCTGTAATTACTTAGAAAGGCATGCGTGTGGAAGAGAAAAGCTAGAGGAGAAGTTGCGAAAGATAAATGTATTGTCAATAAACACATTAAAATGCAAGGTGTTACATCTAACATTCAGAATGACTCTGAAAGGCTGCAAGGAGTGAGGTAGGTTGCTTTGTTTGCCAAAAAGCAGGAGGTCTGGAGAATACCTTTTAGCATAAGTTTGATTGAAGTCGTCAGGATTACAGAGACTGACATTAACAAGATCTATGTCTCCATGTATATAAATTAAGACTGGGAAATGGCCAGCCATTGGGTAATCATGTCACCCTCCCACGAGATCCTTGTCTTTGTCCCATTCTTCTAGGCTAGCAAAGGCAGAAGGATGATGCTATATGATACCTCGGGCTTCCAAGACAGGGCTGGATGCAGTGATCACAGAACTGACAACAGCCGAAGCTCAGTGCGGGAAGGGTTGGGAGTGAGGAGCAATGCACGTGAGCACTGATGGCAACGGGATTCATGCTGCAGTCAGGACAGACACCAAAACCAAGGGGCTTTGAGGCCCCAGGATGGCAATTTGGAGACCAATTGATCTATAGACATGGAGATGGCAGACGGTCCTCACTGTGCAACTTAGGGATCCCTGAGAGGTTCTGCACTGCCTCCTTCTCAGTGCTGCTACACATGTCCTTAAATACAGAGGTCCACATCAAAGAAGCTGTTTCAGAGCCTAAACAGCAGTAATTTAAGAGGTTTGAGAAGAAAAAGATCTGAGCTTGGATAAAAGCCTAGAGAGATAAAGATCAGATCTAGAAAACCCATCAAGGCCATGTGTATTTGGAAATACATCTCAGATTTTTCTAATCCAACTGCAAAAAGCTAAGTGTGGCTGTCTGCTCCCTCCTCCCTTTATGGGTGCACAAGCAGCACTGGAAGAAGAATCCCTGCCACTAACAGGGAATGGTAACCCAGGCATATTTGTATGCATTACTGCCAAAAGGTGTGGTGAAAGACACACTTCTGGGGGACAAAAATCAAGGAAACAGCACACAGCAGCAGTGACAGCGGTCAGCTGCTGAACGGACTGAAGGTGTCTCAGTCCCAAGAAATATCACTCCCAGTATTGGATTCTGCCAATGTTTGCCAGACTATGGCCTCTTATGAACAAAGGCAGGCTCGGGAATTTTGGACGATGAAATGAATGCTGTCATATCATTTTGAAATGAGATCTGTAGCTAAACTTTAAACAGAGACATATGCTGAGAATGCTGTTGAATGTTGAAGGGAGAGCAATGAGAGATGGGTCATGAAGTGCTAGTCGCTACATTCCTTGTCCCAGGTGTGAAATACTGGCTTATTAATTCTGGGTTGGTGGTGGCACAGTTAGGGGGTTCATTTATTTCAAGCAACACCATGAAGAAAAATGAGCAAAATATGATTATGCACCAAAGAGCTCAGATTACATTTTGATAGTGGCATGCTTTGCTATTTTGAGTAAGCAGGAATTATTGCAGCTATTTGCAGAGCCTCGCATGTTGAAAACGTGGCTTTTATACAGCTTAAAAAAAAACTCTACAAAATCATTCCCAAAATAGACATTTCAGTAAGGTTACAAGCCCTCAGGGGTTTCACACTGCAGATTCATCTCTGGCTTCATTAGGAATAGTTGCAGGTCATGGGAGCTGGTATATGCAACGTACAGCAGCAAGAGCAGCCATCTCCAGGGTCACAAAATCCTAAAGATTTCCAGGAGTGACTCCAGAGCTGAAGCGAGGCAGTGGTCTACTAGTAACACAGGCAGCAATGCATAACGGGGTGCCCCAAGTTGCCACTGAAGCTGTGGCTAACCAGCCATCAAATTCAATGGCTCCTAATTATCTTCTATCCTGATTATCAGCATAGATATGGTACTTCACTTTTCTCTTACATGTTTCTCTTCCTTTCTCCTCTTCATCCTCTGCCTCCCATGTGGCCCCTATATAATTTTTAGATACAAAAGATCATGCATATACAGCAAAACCTATGTCTCTGAAATGATATACACAGACATAATGTTCTACAACCATAACATGAGGAAAACATTTGATGTGATCTTAAGAGCAGGTGTCTGCTCTTACAAAACCACTGGGCCAGAAAAAAAGGGATGCCTGACCATGTCCTTCATCTGAACCTCTGATAATCTGACCCCCTCCTCTAGTGGCTGCCAAACCCAACAAAACCTGTGCCCACCAGGTAGTACCTCTTGTCTTCCCGGGTGTTTGGATCAGGAGGCAATGCTTAGCATGCACTCTGACCACGATTAGCTCTCTGCTGCTCGTGTTACTCCTGATTAAAAATGACAGCCTTTTGTAGTGACATTCTGGGCCATCAGGGCAAAAACATGCAAAGGTTGTTACTGGAGTGTAAAGTTAAAGGGAATCCTTGGTGTACAATCAATATTAACACATACTCATATATTGTTTTGCATTAGAAAAGAATCCAGCTTCTCACAGAATCATACAAAGATAACAAAATACACACATAGTAAAGAGAAATAGAAGCGAACTTCCCACTACCACCTGCTTTGAATTATTCAGCTCTTTGGTAGAACATGGTGAAAAATTTCACATAATTTTTATCATCCAAGCCACCTTTCTTTTTATACAACACCTTGTAATGGGGTGAGCATAAAAATTTATGTGCTATTGCTGACTGCTCTGTGATAAAATGGGACAGCAATGGTAAAACCCTCAATAACATAAATGTCATTTTGGGGTAGCTAGTGGAGGAAGGATTTTTTTTTTTTTTGAAAAGGAACTCAGTTTAAAATCCAAGTACAAATGGTGGTGTTAGTGTTAGGGGAACAGCTCAATAGAGCTGCAATCCCAACGCGAAGGTTCCTCTCTGCCTTCTGTGGTTAGCATTGCATCTGGATGCATAGGAAAATCTTCTTTTTTGCCTCCCTTTTTAAAAGCTATTTGTTATTTTATACTTTGCTTTGTATTATACAGCTAGTAGCAGAGAGATTCAGTTAGTAGAGTAAGAAAATATTACACCGCGGTAATATAGGTCCAACCTAGCTAGAGACATGTATTCCTTCTGTAAAAAAAAAATCTTAGAAACTCTTCTAGGAATGTGAGCACACGAGATCTCCCCTTTTCTGCACCTTTTCCCCCCGGATCCTCAAGTGCTTGAGGGTGGAAGTGAGTCTCTTAGCTCCTGCGACAGTGCAGAGCTCCATCAATAAGGATGGCAAGGAGGGTGCTAGAGGAGTCCGAGAGAATTCTCCACTGGTGGAGCCAGGAGTAAATCCACAGGTTCTCACTGCAGCGCTGAACCATCCCACTCACCCAGACTACTGTCCAACTGACACACGGAGGGAGGGCAGAGCTTGAGGCACAACCCTGCGACGACCGCAGCGCTGCGGCTCACGCACGGGCGACAGCTCCAGCGCGGCACTGCTGCTGCTGGGGAGCGATCTGCCATCCACTGCAGCTGCACAAAGCCAGGCTGGCTTGTGCCACAGCTTCAGCTAATCAGAAAAAAAAAAAAAAAAAAAAAAATAAAAGTGGAGATAACACTAGCTATCTGATGTGGCCTTTCATGCCAGGATGCACAGTTCTTTACCAGCTATAAATTCAGTCTCGCAGCTGCTCTGCACTTGTTTGTCGTGGCGTTTCTGAACATAGAAGGCAAATTTGCAGTTTACTGGGCATTTCAGGGACACTGGTGGTGGGGAACACAGCCGCCTGCTGACCATCACCATCCTTCTTCACCTGCCAAAGATCTGGGTTGCTTTGTGAAAGGCAGGGGGCCCTTCCCTCATCCTTGACCTCCACTCCCTTCCAATTTACAGGACCAGAAC